GCCCTCTGGTCATTTTTGTGTCTCTCCGCTGAATATGTTCCAACAGCTCCACGTCCTTCTTGTGCTGGGGGCTGCAGAGCTGGACACAGGACTCCAGGTGAGGTCTCACCAGGGCAGAGTAGAGCAGCAGGATCACCTCTCTCCATCTGCTGGCCATGTTTCTTTTGATGCAGCCCAGGATTTGACTGGCCTCCTGGGCTGCTGCTGCACATTGGTGGCTCATGTCCAGCTTCTCATTTACTAGTACCCCCAAGTCTTTTTCCAGTGGACTGCTCTCTAACATGTCCTCTCCCAGCCTGTATTGGTGATGTTGGTTGCCCCTCCCCAGGTGCAGGACCCTGCACTTGGTCTTGTTGAACCTCATGAGGTTCAGCTGAGCCCACCTCTCCAGCCTGTCCAAGTCCCTCTGGATGGTCTCCTGTCCCTCTGGCCTGTCAACTGCACCACCCAGCTCAGTATCCTCTGCAAACTTGCTGAGGGTGCACTCGATGCCTCTGCCTATGTCATTGATGAAGATGTCACACAACACTGGTTAAAGCTACCAGTCCAGCAGACAGACTGTGCTCCGAGATGGAGTTTCAGGATGTCTTCCAACCTCCATTGTTCTGGGACCTGGGAGAAGCGTTTCCTTTCTGTGCTTCCATTTCCCTGCTCATCATCTTCAGATTTTAGATTAATGTTCTTAAAGCACACGACCTCATTTGTCATCTTGCACAATAGGATGTTTCTCTCAGCAAGCTATAACTAAAAATAACGCTATTCTTAGACCAGCAGTCACAGATTAGGAGAGAAAGCCTGGAGGAGGGAAGACTCTCTGCTAGTCAGTGGAGGCTGGGTTAGTGATCAGCTAGGGAAATTGAGTATGCGTAAGTCCATGGGCCCTGATGAGATGCACCAAAGGGTATTGAGAGAACTGGCTAATGCCACTCTCCATCATTTTTGCTAGATTGTGGCAAATGAGAGAGGTGCCCGAGGACTGGAGGAAAGCCAGTGTCACTCCAGTCTTCAAAAAGGGCAAAAAGGAAGATTTGGGAAACTACAGACCAGTCAGCCTCACCTCCGTCCCTGGAAGAATGATGGAAGTGGCTCATTCTGGAGGTCATCTCTAAGCACATGGAAGAGAAGGAGGTTATCAGGACCAGTCAGCATGGATTTACCAGGGGGAAATAAAGCTTGACTAATCTGATAATGGATACAAGCTGCAGCACAGGAAGTTCCACCCCAGCATGAGGAAGAACTTCTTTACTGTAAGGGTTCCAGAGCACTGGAACAGGCTCCCCAGGGAGGTTGTGGACTCTCCTTCCTTGGAGACGTTTAAGACCCATCTGGATGCGTTTCTGTGTGACCTGCCCCAGACTAGATGGTCCTGCTCTGGCAGAGGGGTTGGACTTTTCGATCTCCGGAGGTCCCTTCCAACTCCTAACATTCTGTGACTCTGGAGGTCCAGAATTCAGAGGTCAGATGACACTTAAAATGAATACATACCATGCTTCAATTGTAAATGGTACATGGCCAGAAGTAATTTAACTTTGCCCATATTTTATAAAAGGAATTGTTGGGAGCCCTTATAAAGTGCTTTGGAGTTAGTCTGGGCCATGAGGTGCTCATGAAGTACACTTTGATCAAAAAAAGGCACAGAGGAATATTCCCTGTGTAAGCCCAAAAGCAGCTTGATAAAAGCTAGGTATAACCACATTCCTTGATAAACTATGTTTTCAACTGAAAAAAAAAAAAAAAAAAAAGTTACTGGCATTCTTTTTAAATACATTAAAGATTTTCATTACCTCTAAAGTTTTCTTATTGTGGTAACACTTACCTGTTCTAATTGTGATCATAGCCCCTGTGCTATGTGCTGCTTTTTACCCACATGTGCCCTGTCTCTGATAACTGCTTCCACAGAAATAAAACCAGTGTAAGCAGTTTAGGGTTTTATTAATTTTATTCTTTCAATAACAATACTGCAAAATAATCTGTGTATTTCAAATAAAGTGGGTTATCATCTGCACTAAAGCAGTTGTGCTTACTCAAATAGAATTACCAGTGATGAGACAACTTGGGTATGATGAAACAAACATGAGAAATGGGACCTTAAAAATTATTTACATCATTTATAAGAATAAAATCTGTTTTTTTAATAAAAAGTACATATTCATATGTGTTGGAGAACTAGGATTTTACAACTTATTTCATTTTATGCATTTCAGATTCACACATAAAAATGCTCAAAGTATAAACATCTATAAAACTAGTAAACCTCAAAACATGATTTTGTAGATTATTTTCCCAGCTTATTACAGTTGTTAGAAAAGGACAATAAAAACCACTTACTTTAGTCCATTAAGTTAGAAGTCATTTGGCAAAGCACTTAGGCATATAAACTAAACCAGCAGATGACAGGAACCAGGATTTGTTATGTTTCAAACACTTCTCATACCAGGGTAACGTTAAGAGGGGTGGGGGATAGGAGTTATTTTCATTACACAGTAACCAGCATCATAACTACTTTTTCTACACGTTACCTCAAGAAAGAAGAAAGATGTTCACAATTGTTCCCAAAGTACTGAATAAATAACAAAAATGTTTACTTTGATCAGCAAACAAAACTAATGGTTCCTTTACTGCGCCCCTTCAGGTTGCTGTTCTAACAGGCTCTAAAGTGGTACCTACAGTAAGTTCTCTATTTATTCAATACAAATTATAAACACTCGCTTATCAAAATAGTGCAAACAGGAACAAAGAAAAGTGCTGTCAAAGTAAACTGCAGGGAGAAAAAGGCAGTTTACCATCATGACCTCACACCATTGCTTCAGAGAAACCAGTAGTACTTTCCTCAGCACGTCAGACCAAAAGTATTCCCATTTACCATATCATACCACTACTGTGTGGGGAATGGATTTGGTCTCTTACACATCCTCCTTCATAAAAGTAAATGCATCTGCCCTTTGTATTGTGCATTAAGAAAGTCTAAAAACTTTTTAAAAACATTAATTGATCAAACCACTGAAGTAATTTATATATTTTTTTTCCCTTTCTCCCTCTATAGCTTTTTTTAGTGTGCATAGAAAAGGCCACAGTGACACACCGCATACAAAAGTCAAGTTTATGTAAAATAATCAAGTATTTTTAGCAATTATGTACACAAGTTTAGTTACCATATATTCTTTCTTGCTCTTTCCTTAGATGTATCTTGATCTGGTTTCTTGGATATATGACATATTTCACCTATAAAGTTATGCATTTAATCCTAGCATCAATAAGAGTATTAGAGGAAGTAAATGTCAGGAGGATCTCCTGACAGAACAAGGAACACTCTCACTGCAACACTCCTGTCCTTGGGTGTCAAAGTACAACAGATCACAAATTGGAACAAGTCTTTTCTGTGTTTTGATCTTCAAGGAAATCACTCAAGTCTAATTTCAGAGTAGTCTGGAGATGTAAGACAGAATGTGGTATGTCTTTCTCTAAATACTATTAAAAGTGCAGGTTCTTTAATCTTATTTAATTAATGTTTAGGTTCAGATACTGATTTTCACTGTAAACACTCTTGCTATTTATGCTTTCAAAGCTTTGTGAAAGGAACAGCGAAAAGAAACTGAGCCATATACTTAGTGCAGTAACATCACAGACTAAAACAGCATTCATGCCTTTGCTTTTATAGGGCTAAGGCTTTCACTGTATCTCGAGTTCTGCTTGTGTTTGCTGCTAGCCCTTGATGGGTGTATCTTTTAGGCCCGCTACCACCTTCAGTGGTAAGAATAGTGATCTGCCAGCTTGCCACAGTCTTACGATTCAAATATTCTGCTCGTTTATTTTACACCTAGATGGCATTGCTTTAGTGCAAGTTATTCTCCATAATTTTTTTATTAAAAGTGTACATTCTACATGCTAAGGAAGATTCTCCTCTCACCACTCTAACCTGATTTTTTTTTGTGTGCGTCTTTGGGGAGGGAGAATCGCAATATGGTCTTCCTCCACTGTAACAAGTAAATTTAAATTCTAGTTGGATGGAAATCAATACTTAGTTGTCTGGTAACTCCCTTCTCCCCTGCTATATCACAATTTATAACTGCTTATTACAAAAGTTGCTTCTACAGGGCAACCCAATGCTAGCAGCAAAACCCTTACAGCATATCAAAACGGCACATCATTTGGCACAAAGCTATTGATGGATAATTGTACAAAGTTACAGAATACGTGTAGCAGTTTCAAGTGCGTTCATTAAGGTGATGTTGCATGAAGTACTGTTGGCATTGATTATTCTATTAAGAACTCTTTCCAGTAAAGAGAGAAAGTACTATCAATTTAAAAATATCACAGAACTCTAGATACTTCGCACTTAAGTGGCTGAGGCCAAATGTAAATAACTACCACTTTATTCCATGTACTGGAATAAAAATTGCACTTGTATAAAAGAGCAAAATTTAGCCCCCATTAATAACCTTACTATTACTTTTCCAAAAAAGAAGTAATAAAACGTCAAGTAGTTCATTCCTTATGGCTTCACACAGTGAAATCCATGCTAAACTGCCCAGAAAGAACAGCTCCTCAATAGTTATCCTTTGTGAACATATCATCAGTTTCATCATCATTCATCCCTCTTTGGTAGCGCACAGAAGAGAAGGCACTCCAGTGAAGACGCTTCTTTTTATAGAGATACCACACTAATCCGACAACAAACACCAAGATAATTAGCAGGGCAAATGCTACAGCCACTCCAGTATGGTTAGAACCTGTAACAGAACAAAACACAAGTAGTTATTAAGAGTTTAAGTTATTACTATTAAGAGTTTAGTTACTATGAGTTATTAAGAGTCATGGAGTTGATGCTTAGGCAGCTTTACACAACACTGCACGCATTTAATGGAAGTTAAGGCACTATCAGCCTTCATCACATTGGAAGTCAGGTTCCCATCTGAAACAGCATCTATTTAGCTTATCTTTGGTCATTCTGTTGTTAATTTCCTAGTCATATTTAGGACGGAAGGGATCTCTGGAGGTCAGAAAAACTTCCTAGTAAATGCTGCACTCATTTCAAGGTTTGTATACTTCATATACTTGTATTTTCAGGGTTTGTATACTTCAGAAATCGAATGAGATCTTGGACTCCCTTGGAGTGGAAGGGAACTATATTGCCCTTGGACCGAAAAGATCTTGTTGAGATCTTTTTTAGCAGCTGGAAGTTAAATCTAGTCCTGCATTTCTACGTTAGTGAAAATGTATAGAAAATCAGAAAGATTCCGCTGGTCAGGAGCTTGCTTGCTTTATACTCATGTAACTGCCTTCTTTGTACAGAGCAGAGTATGAGGAAGTAACATGAGGGCTGAGTCTTTCTGGAGTTTCGAAGTGCCATTTTCAGAGGACTCCTCAATGCTGAAAACACAATCTGCAGTGCTTGCTTATTGAGCATCTCTTACAAGCCATAGTTTTTCTGTTCCTTCTTACAGGGACTCACCCATAAGAGAGACCCTGTGGTAAGGAAGTGGTAGCAAATACTCTGTGCTCTCTCTCAAGTGGAAGTTTCAGTTCTCTCCCTTAGCTTTTAAATATATAGTGGTAAGGGAAGTAAATTGCTAAAGAATTTATCCCTGAATGCAATTTTATGGCCAAACAGCAACAGAAGGCTCTTGTTTAGGCCGAGGTACTTGTTAGGTTCTTTTGTGACTTGCACTTCCACTATTTCAACACAGACTTTCCCTATCAAAAAGAAGAAAATCCTGAATATAATAATTAGAATGCTGTCTCTGCTAAAATTTGTGCTTCCGTACCTAAAGGAGCTTTACAAACCACTCTGCTTTGACTCTGATTGCAGTCAACTTTGGACCACTTGCCAGTTGTGGACAGGATAACACTGCATTTTTCATTGACTTCTGCAGTTTTATTTTCCCAGTTGACATAATTGACTGATGAGCCATCAAGCCAGTTCATAGACTGACCTGTTGGGAGAAAAAAAAAAAATGCTTAGTTTAGATTACCAAGACATGCTGTAATGCTACACAATGTCATTCACAACCTACTAATTTCTTTATGTTGCTGAAAGAGACAGGGGTGACTACCTATGCCATATATTGAAACCCATAAATACAAACACATCACTTTTAGTCACACCTCCAGTCCACTCATGTGGTTGCTACTTCTTACCCTTAGAGCTCTGAGCCAGGCCAAGCCATACATTCTTGGTGATGAGATCATTTTCCTTTATGTGTGTGCTCACAAATGTGTTTTCTTCAGCATCCACTATAGTCAGAAGGATTGCTGAAGGATCTAAGGGGAAGAGAAAACCAGTCAGAATTGCAACTTCACAGATTTGTATTTTTTATATGGTGCTTGTACACTGAGTTTTCTGTGGGAACAATTACTATTGGAAAAGATTTGCTAATCTGGGCTGGTAAAATTAGCTTGAAATAACCTGCAGAATAAAGACAAACTTCTCATTCCCTACAATACAGTATGTTATACAAGATGGTTTCAAATGACTGGGTATTCAAGCAGGTCATACAAAAAAAAAAAGGAGAGTAAACTTACTGCAGCTGTAGACTACATACATGGAAGATATCAAAAGATATGCTGCATTCACAATTATTAGTCTTGTCCAAGTAATAAACCCTTTTCCAAAACACAGTTGAACAAATGCTCAGCATTTTGCTGAGTGAAGTTAACTTCTAAATAAATCCCTCATTGTTGCTCAGGTTTTTATATACAGTGTTAAAGTAATTAAGGAATAAGAGAAAGGAAGGGGTGTACTGGAGGCAGTCTCAGAGTGTACCCAGTCTTTACAAGTACATACAAATATAAACCAGAAGCTTAATTTAGAGAAAGATCACTTTCTCTTTCAACTGCCAGGCCACATAAGATTCAACAGAAAGCTGCATCCAGGACTGGCACTACTTGCACCTTTTCTTTTTCATCCTACACAGTGAGTTCAACTTCATATCCTAAGATAATTCAGTAAAAGTTATTACAGTCTCTAGCTTCTAAGATGATTAAAAAATGTACATGAGACTGCTAAACATCATCCGCAACACAATTTTCCACATAGCTTAACAAAGAAGAGAGATACTCTTTTTAATTTGACATAAAATTGTTTTTTAGTGATATCATGTGCCTTAATAACGTCTTTAAAGTATATGCTTTGAATAATTTGCTAGGCTAGCAAGCTCCCTATTAGCAAGCAGCTAAAGCAGGGACATAATAACAAAATGCTGCTAATAGCACTAACTTTATTATAAATAAAGTTAATTGCATGCAGATAAAATGGTTTCCTCCGAACCACAAGCCTTAAACTTCTGAATCCTCTGTCACTGGCTATCTGCATTCTACTTGCAAGTACCTGCGGGCTGAACAATCTGTCAGCACACTGCAGCAATTTATGAAGAACCTGTATCAGAGCTTCCAAGATAAAGCTTGCTAGTACTTTCCCTAAACTAAAGAAGCGTAAGAGCTGAACCAGAACCCGTGTAGCTTTTTTGGTTGTGGGTTTTCTTTCTTTTCAAACAATGGATTAACTACAAATTGTGATGTGATAAAGAGTCTCAACATACTGAGCTTCTGGCAGACTTTCTTAGCATCTTCCACATTATATACTGAAAAATTGTAGAACGCCATGTCAAATGCATAACAGTGATCCTTATACTGTATCCATGGCAGGGCAGCACTGATCTGTGGGCATACCGGCGCTCTGCTCACTTCCTTTGGCTCTAACTGCCTCTCTGCAAAGACAAAGAAATAGATGTTATTTCTGCTGCAGGAATTTGTGCATAGTCTCTTTGTAGTAACAGGGCAGTTAAGTATTAACAGGCACTACTTCTCCTACCACCAGCCATAACTGAATTAGCTTACATTCCTTCATGTGTCATAGATTCATTTATTTGACAACGAACATAAGACAAGTCCCAAAGGCGTAGGCACCATTTTTTCTTGCCTTTCAGGGAGGTTTGAAGTTTGTTGTATGTGTTTGATAAGGATTTTGATTCAGAAAAAGATACATATAGCTTGAAATTTGTATCACAGGTGATCCAAATGTGACCAGGATTGTTTTAGATTTTCACCACTGTAATTGAGAGAATTAATCTTCCTGAAGTATTACGAAGTGTTTTATTGTTCCTGATAGATGACTCTTCTTAAAGAGAGAACTGTGTAGTATTTCAGCCTTCATTTCTAGTTCTAAATACAATACGGAAAGACAGAATATGTAAGACAACTACACAAAACATTAAAAGCACCACTTACTGTTTGGAGGGCTATAGCAAATGGCACCTTCAGCAACACTTGTACATTTTGTACGGTTCCAAGATCCTTTAGTATCCAACAGAACACAGTTCTCAGTAGTATTTGAGTTTTCTAATTCCCAAGGATAATAGTCAAAGTCACTTCCATCTGACCATTCAAAATTAGCTTTACTTCCCTAATTAAAGAAAAAAACCACAACTTTTAGACAACAGCATCGTTGTGGTTTAAATCCTCAGTCGTTAGTAAGTCACGTAGCAGTATTTATCCACTGTAGGGTGATAAAAGAAGTGCATGTGGCCTCATTTTCTAAATCCAGACTAAATAAATGTATGACACAGCCTGCATTTTCCTTCAGTTCTTAACACAGTAATCATTCTTATTTGTGGGAAATGAAAAAGTTTGGCATGTTTGTAAGTTTAAACCTGCAATGTGTCTGGTATCTTTCTATGGCGAACATTATACTTCCTCTCATCCTGCTGTTTCACTTAAGCAGTCTGCCTTCCTTCTATGAACAGTTTTAGATACATTGCAAACTGCTAAACCGATGGCCTCAGTGCGTAAAGCCGGGCAGCTCAGGAACAGTTTGCAGCGCTACCTCCTACTTCAGATACACTGCTGCAAACCCATAACCACGAAGAGTCAGTTTTCAGAAGTGGAGAGACCCATTCAGACCAAAGACAAAGGCATGCACAGACACCAGAAGCCTCTGCAGGGGGATATTCCTGCCAGATAACTACCGTGACCAGGTCTGGCAGCCAGCATGGGCGGCAGAGTCAAGGCCACAGGCTTTTGGCTCCAAGGCTCAGCAGAGAGGAGGAGGATCTGCAGCTGCCTCTTGCTATGCCTCCTGGGAGAAGGGACACACAACTTGCTGGAAGGCCAGTCCTGACCTGGACTAAACAGGCTTTGTACAGCCTCATCTGATTGTATTTGGTAATGGAATCTGATCCCACAAAAAGCCACAACATCTGGACTCTCTAAAGGTAGCACTGGAAATTGCACTTGCTTGTGCTGCAAGGAATCATGTGGGACCACTGTATTATCTTTAAATGTCAAGGATTTGGAAACATATCTTAGTGTGGCTACATTCACTAAACTTTAATAAACTTTCACATATGTTACCCAGGATTGAAAAAGTAGGTTATTTACTATATGTAACAGAGATTCCAAGAAACTGGAAGAAAGCATTGGAAAACACTTCATATCCTGTACATAAAACTATTCACAAGCTCTGTTACTGACATAACCAACAGTATATACTTACATCATGAATTGATAACCCAAGCCATAGAGGATAGCCATCCTGCTTGACAATATCTTCTAGAAATAATTGTTGAGATTCACTGTGTACACTTGCTAAATCACTCCTATTTTGTTTGCATTCTCTCAATGCCTCATACCACGTTAACTTCTTCTGAAGGATCCTGTATGTTCTGTTTCCATGTGGAATAGACTCTGGCAATGGAGGCTTGTGCTGTTGGGGTCCTGTTTCAAAGAATCAGAAGACAAGTTCTGTGCACTTTATTCATGTTACTAAGAACATACAGAAAACATTAAAATCTACCTATAGCAATGCAACTCAAGCATTAGTGTTCAGTACAGGTGACTTCTATCAAGAAAGTTATCTTTTACTACTTGGAACACTGTGAGCAGTTGATGGATGAGTACAGCAAACACATTCCTCCTGGTCAGAATATTACAGCAGTGATGCACAGACTGACCATATAACCCCAGAAGCCCATGACAGCTGTGCCACATGTTTCACTGGGAGCAAAACCGAAGCTTTATATAGCAGGTACCGCAGAACTTAACTTATGACCCTCATCCAACATTCCAATACTACACAAGCATCTTCTCTACTACTTACCCCTTTCGATTTTACAGGCAAGAATACTGTACACATTATAGTGATGAGCATGCCAACTTTGAGAATAATTATAAATATCCCAAAACCCATCAAGATTTACACCAGCAAAAAAACTGTTCTTCTTTATGTTAGGTCTTCCCAGCCTCCAGTTGTTGTAAGTCAGATGAGTTTCATCATACCACTTGAGAACTTTATCTGTTGAAAACATTGCATTTTTATTAAATTGCTGGCATTATGTGTACAAATACCATTTAACTTTGAATACATCAATGACACTAATAGATACTGACTTTGGAAGAAATTCAATGATAATGTAAGTTCTTGTAAATCAGTTTCACATACAGTGCTACATGTGTTCGCATTACTCATTCAGGCCCTTTTAAGTCCTACTTTCCAAGGAAATCAAAGCTAGACTAAACAGAACATAGTAGATCTAACTATCACTCAACCAGACAGCATGCCTGGTTATTGTCTTCTAAAAGATAAATACAAATATAAAGCATTATTATAGGTTTCCATTCACTTTGACTTGTGTACCAAAACAGGCAAGAAATGTGCTTAATGCTGCAAACTTTTGTTTCCAATCCAGTTATTAAGAAAAAAAAGCTTTAAATCTTACCACTGTCATCATAAATCACACCCAGCCAGACCCACATAGCCAGACCACTGAATGAATGAAGCTGCTCAGTAACAAAGTTATTCTCTTCTTCATCACGAACGCTCAGAACAAACGCTTCTGGGTCTGTTGAAATTTTTTTAAAATTACTTTCTTAGAAATTGACTTTTCAGTTACAAAATATTTTCTTTTCCTATTATTGCTAATAATTATTACACATGAGTCAACAATGTGTAAAGGCAAGGCTTTTAAAACATAATGACTAAGTGAACAGTGCAAAAACTATTTTCACAGGTATTATCAACAGTGCTTCCCCTGGCTTTGTGGATAAGTGAAAGATAGCTCCAGAGATATCTGTGGGTCCTACTGCCACATAAAGTTGTATGTACTAAACATTCTCTTCATAGAACATAGACCAATATCAGCAACCTTTCATGACTCTCTTGAACTACCTAGCAGAGAAACAGTATTAAGAAAGAGGCTGACTTGAAATCAGTACACAAAAAATAAAAACAGTTTCTGGAAAGATGCACATCTGAAGTGCCATGAGCAATGGTTTAATATAAGAAGGAAGCTATTTCTAAGCTTACACTTAGTTCAGGATGGACAGGAAAGGCTCATGTGCTTTGCTAAATTTGACTATTTTCAGTCTGTCTGCTTTGTTCACCTAAGTGTTCAACACAGCAGGGCAGGGGGAGACCCATGAAGTACATGTGACAGTAAAGCCAGAATGTTGCCAAGGGGATATCAATTACTCATTCTATTTAAAATTTGCATACTATAAGGAGAAACAAAACAAAACAAAAACAAACCCCCAAATTTTCCAGTTTTTCTGAGATCTCAGAATTCATTAGTCCCCAGCCATCTCTCTCTCACTTGAATTTTTCTACTCATGCTCTGGCACTTTTTATCAGAGTAGTGTAAATAGCATTAGGCAGTGAAAAACTAATGCACATTTTCAAATGCTATAACCTTCCTCAATATTCACTTTGCTGTCATTTTAAGACAGTGACTCAGATCTAGAACTCATCTCCCTCAAGCTGATCTAAGTCCATAAATACTTGTAATATGACAAAGTACTTACTCATTTTCTTGCATAAATGATGAGCTTCTTGAGACTTCAGTTCTCTCCATCTATTTTTTGTTATCATGAAAGTGTAACAATTGTTTCTAAATGATATCCAGGGTGTATTTTTAATCTTATGTGGGCACTTAACTTGTGTCACTTGTTCTTTTTCAATCTTCTCTAAAGAAAGGAAAGAAGATACTCAAGACACAAGTTGTTAATAACAACACTTACCCTCACACACGACAAACCACTTTCAGGCACCATTTAAAAACATTCAAGACAAATTAAGTGCCATCCTCTAAACATGTAGTCTTAGAATCACAGAATTGTTCCAGTTGGAAAAGATCTTGCTTTCAGTTTCCTCACGATAGTGCTTTTTTTAAAGTAACAAAATCAGCAGTAATCATGATCAAAGAATACAGATGCTTACGACCTTCTGCAATTGCTATCTTACACAGGCTTAAGAATAAAATCCCTGCATAAAAGGGCTAAGTGTGGGCCAATAACGAAAAGCTCTTCTTGCCTCTTGTATGAGGGCAGATCACCACAATAAATAAGCTACTGCATAGCTGGCAACACATCTTAGTTCTGTGGTCTTATCTAATATTTGAGGAGTGAGAAGGACTCTTCCTCCAGTTGCTTGGATTGACAAACACAAAATAGTTAAGGATGGCATAATGCCAAGTATACACTTTACTGTGACTCAGTATGCAAAACTGGCTTAACTGTGTCCCCTCATGGGGGAAAAAAAAAAAAAAAAGAAATTATAATTTGTTTTGGTCTCACAGGGAAGAAATCTGTGATGATCTCTCTCATTTCTCAGAAATGGGCTATGTATGTATCTCCCCACAAAACATGTCTTGCTATATTCCTCCTTGTCTTGTTATAATTAGTATATATTTATAAAGGTTTAGTAACTGCAGGTGACTTTCATTTACACCTTTCAATTCAGTGTCTACCTGCTATCTTTCTTCTCCATGTAGTCATGTGCCTGCTCCCTGTACAAACTTCTGTGTCTGAAGAGATTCCAAGAGGTCCCAGTATTAAGATGTAAATAGTACAGGAGGTAGCTGAATCTTCTTCCACATGCAAGTGGGAAAGATTACTGTATACAATAATCTTACAGAAACACTACAAAGGTAGAATCAGTTGGCAATGTGAAGGGTACAGTCCGGCCCAATGCACCCATGCTGAACTAATTTTTAAGTAACATATGGATTAAGACCAACAGGTGCATACACCACTATTTGAAGTTTCTTTCTTTTTTTCCTGGCATGCAAATCAGCCTGAGGATATGTAAGTTTAAAAAAGTTCTAATTTTAAAGTTACAACCTGGAATTATCAAACGTGCTTCATAATAAAAGAAATATTCAGCTTTTATAAATGTTGTGCTAGGATACATACTTTCTGAGGCATAGCAAATAGCACCTCGATTTTCAGAGGAACAGTCAGAAGTTTTCCAGAAGCCATCAGTATCCAAAACCACGCATTCTTCACTTGTTTCTTCATCATCTTCAGACCAGCGACTAAAGCTAACATGTTTCCCATCCAGCCAGCCATAATGTTTTCCACCCTAGAATTGTGTAAGTAAAAGGGATGAGCTCACACCGTAAAAAATACTCGGTACAGAAAATGATATGATAATATACATTGGCTAGATATCTGCAGTGTCTCTGGTGAGAACTAAAGTATTCCACTGCCCTCACAATCTGTTCTGCTGCTCATAATATAACAGGCTTCATTATTTTAAATTTTGCAGTTGCAAAAATATGGATTAGCTGAAGTGGATGGCAAATTATCAAACAATGTGGTGTTAACTACTATGCTTCTGGAGGAAGGGCTGGCAATGAGATGCCCAAACTGCATCATTTGCACCTGTACATCAGTGGCAGAAATAATATCTGGGCCTGGAAAATTTGTAATATCTGAGAATAAGGCCCAGTCTCAGTTTCTCCACACTGAGTTGAAAGTAATCTATTAAATACTTAACTGATTTAATAAAGCATATGTGTTCCTCCTCTGGAGGAAGCAGGAGGACTAAAAAAGAACCCACACACAACAAGCACACCATCCTTAAAGAATCTTATGTTTACAGTTTTTCTTCAGTAAATCCCCCTGCTGCTTTGTAATTTCATTTATCTTGTATCTTTCTTTTGTGTCTATGATTCCAGCACTGGAGTAACAAGTTCTGTGGACCAGTTTCGTTATAATTTCCTTTCATGTGACTTTTCAATTGTGCCCAAGTAGCAGTGTTGCAATAGTAAAAAGCCAGTGCATGCCTGAATAGTATGCAGCAAATTAATCACTTGATCTTCACTTACAGATAATTATTCAAAAGAGGAGGGAAAATATTTTGTTCTAGTTTCCCCATCTTCACTAAGATTAAATGCCTTTTTCCTTTTAAAAATATTCTCCATAAAGCATATTCTGTATTTTTCCCCCTACTTTGCCTAGAATACTCAGTAGCCCATTACTGACACAGAAGATATAACACCACAGATGCTGAGTGAGTACCATTAACCTTTGTAGGTAAGGTACTTCTCCAATTTTAACTTTTCTTGACATTATCTTAAGATTCATGGACTTGACAAAAAAGATAAACCCTGCAAGCAAGCCCAAGCCACTTCATTAACAGCTGAGAAAGCTCTCCATCAACAATGAACACCTTCAAGAGGTCCTCTAGGTAAAAAAGACAAAGAAGTACCTCCTGCATTGACTTGTCCAAAGACAAAGCAAACAGGAGAGAAAATGAAAACCCCACTAATCTGTCTCAGAGATGTCTCCCTCTTAGTTAAAGCACAAGCACAAATAACCTGAAGCAACAACAGAGTCCAAGTTAGGCTTTGGAAATGTATCTCCAGAAGTGTTCAAAGACTCATTTTGGATCTTACTTGCCATTTCTAGTTGCTCCCTTTTAAAACACATTTTGTGTTGTCTTTCTAGACTGCTGCAAACAGCAGCAAGGACATTAAATGGCCCCACTAATTATGCATTAACAAAAGAGAAGATGATTCAGAGACCTATGCTGCTGCTACCCTACACTATTCCCTTCATCCTATAATCTTCTAGAAGAATTATCTCCTCATTGATCCATCCAGTGGACTTCAACAACTATATAGCTTGGAGAACTGAAGATTTAAAACATTAGTCTTGAGACCTTAAATGAAAACAGCTACCCCTGAAAATAATTTCACTGCACTCTTTGTCCCAGTTGCTGTTTCACACAACTCTAAAAATTACCTTAAGCCAGAGTCTGCAGGGAAAACAAAACTTACATCTCTGCTGAAGAGTCCAATCCACAGTGGGTAATTATGAAGGGCAGCCTGAACAGCAAGAAAAGCCTGCTGGAACTGATCTGTGATGCTAACCAGCTGCATCTTGTTCTTTATGCATGCAGCCATTGCATCATTCCAGGACACATTCTTTGGAATTATCATGTATTGAACATCTTGATAGCTCAACGTTTCATTAAGGAATTGCTCTGTCTGGTTATCAGCAGCTCCTATACATAAGAAAGAAATTGAGTTATTAGGTGGTTGAACACTGGAATACATTTTAAACTCCCAATTTCTCTGTAACGAACAGAAAAATCTGTGAACTCCTCTTGGAAAAAAAAAATTCTTAAACAGTAGACTATGCTAATAATTATAGTTAGAAGCAAGTATCTTTCACATTTGAGACAGAATATGTAAGCAGAAAAAAAAAAAAGGATTATTTTCAGCCAATCTATCCTTAAATATATATATATCTTTCTCTCAACTTAGGTTCATATATTTAGGTTCATATATTTTATATTTTTCTATTTTCAACTGACTGCTAAATAATGCTAAGAACCCTAGTTACTGAATTAAAAACATACTCTATAACTTCAATTAAATACATGAAACAGAGAGAGCAACTGCTCTCTGCTGCATTATAGCAACTGCTAAGCTTGACTCCTTTATCTCTCTGGAGCCTGTGGATTTACACTTATGTGAATTTAATGGGCCACAAAATTTGTCTACGCAGATCTCAGTCCCAGAACTCCTTACTGCCATCCATGGGTATAGTGGGAAGTGATTTTGCCCCCACATGTGCTGAACTAAATTCAGAAAATCCACCTTGCATAGGGAGGGGTATAACTTGCTATTTGTGCTCTAAGCGCTGAGTGTTGTCACAGTTATCAGCATCATACTTGAAGGCTTACAGCTCTGTAGTGCATAGCAACTGCAGTGAATAAAAGATGCAAACATTCCCATGGATGGTACATTAAAGCATGCCTACCTGGTAACCCTTAACCTTTTATACCCAAACAAAAATAAATTTGCTCTCCAAAAAGGAGAAAAACCTTGACATTTGAAATATCTCAAGCAGAAAAACACTCATTGAAAGAGCAGATAAAAAAAAAAAAAACCAAACACTATAAATAACAGGATATAAATGTCTGATTGATAGGCTCAAGTATATATACAGGGCCATTTTCCAAAACCCAAGAAGACAGGAACAAAATATTAATTTGACGTTTACAGCTTTCAATAGATCAGAAAAGTGACAAGGCTGAAACAGATTGTTTTAAGTGGTTTGTGTCTGCTGCCAAATGCTTTCACTTAGTAAACAGCTACAGAAAAGAACTGTGGAACCAAGGGTGCCGTCACACATCAAGAGGTACCAAACTGGAAACAAGCTAGTAAAGAAAGTGTCCATTTCTGAACGAAGCAATTGCTGATGATTAAAGCCTCAAGAAGTTGTGAATCACAATCATGCCAAGATTTCCAAGCAATGCAAATCATCTTTTTCCTTAGGATAAAACCACATGCAATGTGGACTGTCTCACAGCTGTCCCTGCAACCTGCTGAGGTCCCTTCCAACCTGACTTATCCTTAGATCCCTAATACAATGATGATTGCACTAGGACACATTCTCTGACAGTTCAAAAACCTTTCTCATTACACCTCAACAGCTCTGGCAAGGAAGAAGTGCTTAGTATTTTTGCCATCCCAGACTTAACTGATCTGCACAGACACACTGTCAACCTCCTATTAGTAAAAATCCCCTTTTTGAATTTTTATGACATCTCCTCCATCCACACTTCTAATATGGAAACTTGGAATTTCTAAAGCATTTGGCACAGAAAAAGATTTTGTTTGTTACATGAGGGCCATGAGGCAGGGAAATATCTTTGCCTGTTTGAGAATGAAGGTGGGTATATTCTTGGGTGTTTTGCACACCTGAGTTTTGGTGGTTTTTTTAGAAGACAGGAAGTTAGTTACTTAAAAGGATTATTTACATAGAAGAACACACTCAGAAAAAGTTATGCTGAACATTAGCCCATATCAGTAATTAAATGTGTGTAATAGCTATGTGTGCTTGATCTGATTCCAGAAATTGGCATTGACCAAACCACCTAGCTACATCAGAATATTATTTTCAGTTCAGATTAAAAAAACCCACTCATGCATCTGTATGGCTCTGTTAGAAGCTAGGGAAAGCTGCATCACTCCAAATTATCATTCTCCATGCATGCCCTTAAGGTTTGCCATGGGGACCAATTTCTGTTTTAAGAGTATATGATACCTCATATTTTGACAGTGCTAAAACCCACAGATATGTTTAAGGAGTATGGAAATACTCTGAGATTCCGTCCCAGGGCTCCTCACTCAGAGGACACTTCTACAGTTCTGAAGAGGAAAAAGGAGTCACTTTTCCCATCCCTAGGTGTACATGACCTCTATACCCACAGAACAGTAAAGCCCTGTCTACTGAAGTATGGTTCCACTGAAACCACCATGTCTTTCAGGAACACAGATTCTCTCTGCACTGGGCTCTGAAAAACAAAAGGGAAAATTCTGAACGGCTGACAAAATAGGTCCCTGATCATCCCCTACACTCTGCTTTTCCAAAATTTACCTGCTCAATCTCTACAAGAATCTTGCTCTTCAAGTGCAACAACTTACATTCACGAAAAGGTCTCCTGGCATATGCATATACATCTTAACTCTGCAAACTCTGGCTGCAATTTATTTTGACTTACCTATAGGCCGCTGGCATATACCCAAGAAGTGCCTGTCAGCACAAGCAGTGAAATTCCATGTTCCAACGTACTGTGATTTGGGATCATTGAGGATTACACCACACTGATTGTTAAATTCTTCATCAAAAAGCTGAAAACCAGAAATATGCTTATCAGGCTCAAATAAGGCATAAACATACTTGTGTAGAGAAGGTGAAGTAACCTGAGGCTAGGAGAACCCGACCTGTCGGGACTTGTTTAAGAAGTTTCAAAGGACTGGTGCAATACATCTTACCTACATTACAAACACTACCAGATGCCTGGACTCAAAAAGAATTCATCAGATATACAGAGGCAAGAATATTAAATAATTTAATATTTAAAATAAATCTTGTTTGTAGGTGTGATTAGATTATATTTATTATGCTTCACATTGGGTAGGGCAGCCAGCAAAATACCCCTGTATAATGGTTTACAGATGCATTCCAAGTGTAACTGAACCAAGAGTTATTAATGACACCTTTTTGATGACTGTTTTCATGTAGTCTTTAAATTGAAAAAAGTCCCAGAAGAGTCATGAAATAGCTGTTTCAGCTTTTCTCCTCCCCCCATCAGTGTTTTGTATCTCAGTTCAGAAGCTGTCATCCAACTAAAGGTGAAAGGTAAACAGAACTCCCATACTGTCAGTTTGAAATTAGAACCACTAACTGGGGGATTTAGTCTGCTACATATTTTTTGTTTTCCCTCCCCCCCTTTTTTTTTTTTAATATGGTCAATATTCCAAATTTCATTACTCAATAGTCAAGAGAAGTCAAAAGTCAAAACTTACATCCAGTGGAATTTTCCTTAATCTTCCTGTCAGGAGCGGGTGAAAGTTACTATACAACAGTCTACTCTCATCTATCCATTTGTTTTCCCTTGTGCTGAAGAGAAACTGCAAACCAATCCAAATATCTTTTGGCATTCCAGGAAGCAGGGATGTTATATAATCTGTTGGGCAAACAGTAAATGTACATATTGTGGTTGAGACAACAGTAAACATCTGAAAAAAACACTTCACATAAGATAACGCAATCCCTGTTTCTATTAACTTAATTTTCCCAGCCCTTTATGATTGACAAATGCTTATTATCCATAAGATAACACCTTTCATGTTGATTTTATCTGACAGGAGCAGACTATTAGTATCTGTCCTCCACATTTTCAGCTTAGGAGCAGGTAGTGAGTTTAACCTGTTTTTCTGCCTGCTACTCCATATTCTTGCACCTGAAGCCAAATCTCAGAAGCTGCTTTTCCACAGGTCTGCAAAATCTTCTATTGTCTTCCTACAGAAATAATAAAGAGCTCCCTCTTGCCCTCTCTGAATTGATAGGGGGGGTGGGGGTTGTACCTCCCATCTTCCTCTCCTACTGATATACACCATAAATCAGAACTATTTCTTGGATTCTGGCAGCTTGCCCACCCCACCATCAGAGAAAGCAGAACAGGACAAAGGAAGCTGGGTTTAGCTGGAAAAAAAAGCAACAAGGGAAAACCTTAAATGGGACTCCTCTTACTGAGCATTCTGGCACAAAACAATGGGCTTTGTTAACCCCCCCAGGCACCAGGCATTCACTGAGCTTGTCTAGATTAGGAAGACAAATCGAAGCTATGTAATTAGCTACTGCCGTGTGTTAACTATTGGCTACACGCCAGACTAGCCAGAGCCTATTTTCTGAGCTAGACAAAGCCATTGAAGAGTTACACATCAGAGCCAGCCAGTCACCTAATGCCACTGGGAATAGCAGAAGCAGCCTAGAGAAAGAGGTATGCTCCTTTGACAGGACTGTGCCTGCCTTCTTTTCCACTACAGAGGGGAAAGAAAAATAAACAAGTAACAGTAAAAACCACTTCCATATGCACCAAACTAGACAAACAATCCTGTTCTGTGACATTTCAGAACGGCTATGCTTTTGCAATCTTAAAAGAATGCAAAACCACACAGGTCTCAGATGTGTATTTCTGCATACTTACAACCCTATTCATCCCCAATAACAGCAGTAATAAAAAGAAATTACATCACAGCTGCTGCCTGCAGTTATGCTAGTGGCCTCCATAGTCCACTTTCCATATTCCATTTGGCAAGAGGTTATTTGTTTAGAAAGAAAATACGCAGAATTCAACTGAGCTACTTTACATATACCTGCAGGTATGTAATTGTTAATTATCCACAAGATGCAAATACAGCTGTCCCATTCAGCAGTTTATTGATGACTATTACTTGTGGCCAATGTGAACACGCTTCCTCCTCACTGCATTTACCTCAATGACTCTAGTTTATGTGACAGCTGAGACGCAGGTCCCAAAAGTGGAACAGCAATGTGTTTTGCAGTCCCCTTGGCTTCCATCCTCCTATCAGTGTCCTGGAGAGCTTGCAGGTTGTTAATGTAGACACACTGCCATATCAAACTGCTCAGCACACTTCAACACAGAGGGTCCTATGAGCTCCAGTAGGCATTGTGTTTGCCATCTCATTCGCACACAGACAGCTGAGCTTGTCTTGGAAGCAGCTCCTAAGGTGGTTTTCATAGTGCAAAGTCTACAGTCTAAGTTATGTTTTAACTTGCAAAGCAAAACATAGGATTTCTTCATTCAGTAGTGACCCTTTTATCCTCATCCCTTAATGCCTTAAGGTTTTACAGTTCCTTTTGCAACAGGTTAAGATCATGCAGAGAAGCTGCTCAAATGTTTGCTGACTGTATTTCCATGTTATCTTTCCAGTGATGCAAACAACAATAGCACATTTTTAACTAGTCTTGGATTTTTACAATGCTCCCAGTATGCCTGTAGTTAACTAAGTGATTTTATGCTCAAATGCTTAAGCAGAACTATATTGAATTTAGAAGAAAAGGTGCATAGTAAAAGTGCCCCCAGGTCACCATCATACCTTGCTCAGCTTGACTTGAAATAGATGGAAGAGAGCCTCCAAAAGTTACACACTTTTCATTAGCTGCATTAAATGTTAAATATTTGGGTTTCATCTTTAGAAAACACTGCAAAATAAATACAATGAATCTTATTTTCATCATACCATTGCTTTCTAAAAAATAACTCATAAGAAAAGGTTTTTAAACCACCCATAAAGCTCATTTCTCATTTCCTGCAATAACATATAACTATTTTATCAGTAAGCAAAGCAGCTGATATTAGCTGCATGCATTTCTTGTTAGATTCAACAGAATAGCTCAATATAAAATGATCCCAAAGACTAAATCCTCATTCACCAAGGACTAGACTTCAGTAATTTTTAATTGGCTACACCAGGATCATGTACTGTTTTAAGAATGAAAATTCACACATGAACTCTTTAAACTAGATTCGAAGGGGGGAG